CACTATTTTCTCAATTCCCTCAAGGAAGGCACATAACTAATACCATTCTAGATGGATATGATGGATGGCTTAGGTTGTATTAGGAGAAAAGAATCAAAAGGCAGACAAAGTGTAGAAGACTACACGTCATGCTCCAAACTCTGTATATTTTGTACTGATCATTTGAAAACTCTCAAATAGCTTTTAAGCTCAGAAGTAACATAATCAATTCTCACAGCCAGTTAGCCTGGATGCCAAATCACCCCCAGTATTACCTACAACAATCAAGGCTTAACTACAACAAAGACCACTAGGGGGTGCACCAAGAAAGTATAAAAAATGCAGAGACAAAGAAACAGGACACAAATGTCGATGGAGGATATAGAATTCAGAACCACACTTTTAAGGTCTTTCAATAATCTTCTAGAAACTGCCGATAAACTTAATGAGATCTGCAAGAAATCTAATGAGACCCTCGATGTTGTGATAAAGAACCAACTAGAAATTAAGCATTCCCTGACTGAAATAAAGAACATTATACAGACTCCCAACAGCAGACCAGAGGATTGCAAGAATCAAGTCAACGATCTGAAATACGAAGAAGCAAAAAACACCCAACCGGAAAAGCAAAATGAAAAAAGAATCCGAAAATACGAAGATAGTGTAAGGAGCCTCTGGGACAGCTTCAAGCATACCAACATCAGAATTATAGGGGTGCCAGAAGATGAGAGAGACCAAGATACTGAAAACCTATTTGAAGAAATAATGACAGAAAACTTCCCCTACCTGGTGAAAGAAATGGACTTACAAGTCCAGGAAGCGCAGAGAACCCCAAACAAAAGGAATCCAAAGAGGACCACACCAAGACACATCATAATTAAAATGCCAAGAGCAAAAGACAAAGAGAGAATCTTAAAAGCAGCAAGAGAAAGAAAGTCAGTTACCTACAAGGGAATACCCATACGACTGTCAGCTGATTTCTCAACAGAAACTTTGCAGGCCAGAAGGGAGTGGCAAGAAATATTCAAAGTGATGAATGCCAAGAACCTACAACCAAGATTACTTTATCCAGCAAAGCTATCATTCAGAATTGAAGGTCAGATAAAGAGCTTCACAGATTAAAAAAAGCTAAAGGAGTTCATCACCACCAAACCAGTATTATATGAAATGCTGAAAGGTATCCTTTAAGAAGAGGAAGAAGAAAAAGGTAAAGATACAGATTATGAACAACAAATATGCATCTATCAACAAGTGAATCGAAGAATCAAGTGAATAAATAATCTGATGAACAGAACGAACTGGTGATTATAATAGAATCAGGGACATAGAAAGGGAATGGACTATTCTTGGGAGGGAAAGGGGTGTGGAAAAAAATAAAAAAATAAAAAAATAAAAGTAACATAATCAGACAAGTATTCTACAGCATTAGTACAGATGAAGAGAAAAAACTAGAAGAAGACCAGCTACAAGATTATAGAAATAATCTTAGCACTGGATGCCATAATGTCCTGAGCTACAACAGGATCAGAAGGGATGAACAGTGAATGGACAGAGCCAAGAGTAGGAAAAGCACTTGTCTCCAAGGCTTTCATTCAGGATGACTGGAAAGATAGTGATACCATGAAACAACGTCACAAACGTAGTAGCTTAGCAAGAGGATGTATGTTGCTATCTCAGTCCTCCAGTATGTCCCGTAGGATTCATCTTTTTCCCCCAAAAAAGAAAAAAAGATCAGATCAATGAATGAGCACAGTATATGTAACCTTAGCACAGAATCTTGCTCTGCTGAGAATCACTGTAAATCTTCAAATATAGTTCTTACTGTAGGCATGACTCATTAATAAGTATCTTCATGAAAAGATATCACCACTACCATCTTACAACAGAGCAGTTAATCCACAAACCAGCCTTTAGCCAAAGCTCTAAGGAAAAGTTTCCCTAAGAAAATGAATGACAAATTTTACATCATTGTCTAAAAGTGTTTAAAGAATTTAGAGAAAGAATGTTCTAGAAATCCACAACAAGCATGTAAGCTATTTTTCTAACTGGTCTTGGAATTAAACTTGGCATATGGGGACATGAATATGGGATGAAATACAGAAGTCACTTTAAGATTTCAAATGTGTAGTATGTCTCCCCTACCTACTTCTCTCCCTCAAAAAAAGTCTTGAATAACAACTAGGTATTGGCACTGTCAACTCATAGACACACAAGAATCTTTACCTGCAACCCAAAGTTCATAAACCCTATTCTAAAATGTGTTAAAAATTGTTAGTGGAAAACATGAATATGACTTGTTTATTTTTCCTTTTGTCCTATTAGAGATGATATGATCATGCTATTGCTCATTTTTATTATTTTATTGCTTGTTATTATTCAACATCCCAAAGTAGGAAAATAAAATGGCCTATAGGATGGTTTTGAGATGGCAGGAATGTTTAGAATTATCTGAAATCCCTGAGGCAACTGTTCGGTGGAAAATGAGAAGCAGAGCAGCGTAAGCAGTAAAAGCAAAGCTTTAGTTGTCCAAGTCCATGGTTTAGATTCCAGCTCTGATAGGTGAGCTTTGTTATGTCTCAATTTCTTTATCTATAAAGTAGGGATTAAACTATATAAACAATCGTGTGAGTAAAATAAAATCTGTGCTTTTCATACCTGGCTGTCACCAAAATCACCTGGGAAACTTATTAGAAACATAATATCCTAGGCCCCATTCCTGTGGTTCAGGAATATTTATTTTTAAACAAAAATACATCGTGATATTCTAAAGATGCTCTTCATATACCAGTCACAAGTTGGAAATCGTGGGGGGAAAATTATATTTCTTATAGTTTTATATATTCTTGTTTACATTATGTATTTCTACATATAGATAAAGTACCAGTATTCTGATACACTGTAAATGTTCAATAAATGCTTGATGTAATTTTCAGTAATTATTTTGAAATAGATAAAACTGAGTATTTTATAACAAGATGGCCCCTAAGTCACCTTGCAGAACTAGTTTACATAACTTTCTCACCCAAAATGAGACTGAAAGAGTGGCACTACAGTTTCTGAGACATTGTGAAGTTGACACAAGAGAAATGCCACACTGATGACAATGCTCCTTTTCCACAAAATAGTTTATGACAGAAGGAAAGCATAACGTCAGGCATGTCTTGTATTTTTAATAACAAAGGTTGACCATTCCAGGTCATTCCATTAAAAACCTTCCAACTCATTCCTTATTTTTCAGTAATTCATAAAATTTATTCAAATTCACCACAGAACAATATAAGTATCAAATAAATGAGAACAATAACATTAACCATGGCAACAGATATCTAAGATGAATACTATTAAAGATACCTGGTTCTTAATTATAAATAATAACTGCATCTTTCCTTTTTAGAAGTGTAAACCCTGGAATGAATTAGCATTTCTAAATAAAGTAGCCTAATATATTATATCAAACCCTTTTAAAAAAAATGTTCAACCATACTTTCCTATCAACATTATATACAAATCAATATTATCTATAAGATTACATTATTCTTCTTATAGTTTTACTAAGAAACAACAAAGTTGTTTTTAAATGTAGTTTCTAGTTAGTTTCCATCACACCACAAACGTAAGTAAGGTATATTTGGACACCACTATAGTACTAAAGATAAATGCTCTCTCTTCTAAATGTAGGTATTTATTATTAAAATAGTTACCAACAACAGAAGGTAAAGTGTATCCTATGGCCTAATGGAATAAACTACATCTATTTACTGGACACTAACATTTTTTATTATAAATTACTTTTTAGAGGTTATTTTATATTGACTCAAAGCTTGATTACTAATGTCTAAAAGTTAAAATATTTCAGCTGTACAAAATAGTGTGTTTACCTAATTGAACAAAGTATTTAACCTCAGGTTTATTCCTCCATATACACATTTTACAAAGATTATGGGGATCAATGATCTAATGCTAACAGATTGTGGCAAGTACTGAGAAAGAAATATGTTATGTAAATAAAGCTTAAAGAGAAGAAGTTGTTTTGGCCATTAAATTATAGGACTTTACCATTTTCTTCTATCAAGTTTTAACCATTAATCCTACTGTATTAGAGAAACAAAGTTAAACAAAGAGATCCAGAGGCTGAGGTAATCTGATCTTAAGAGTTAAAACAGTAAAAATTAGAGTTTAAAAAATGTCTCAAGCAAATGTAACCAAAAGTTATCACCTTTGCTCAGCCTGTAGAATATCAACTATTTATATTAAAAGTCCTTATAACACTGGACTAAAGCCAACTGTCTACACAATAGAGAATGAGGAAAATTTCATGCATTTAATCTGGCTACCCACCACACCTATATTTTCAGATATATTCTGGCTCAGAGAAGTGAGAAGCAAGGGCATTAAAAAAAAGTGTTTAGTGTTTAGTACAGAATTAATATGTTGCAAACAAAAATATATTTGGAACTATCAACAATACATGATGAGAAACACTGCTCTTCTGCTCCTTTTCCCCAAAACACCACTTTTAGTGATGTATCTTCCTGAAGCCTTTGTGAAACCTCTCTTTTCCACACTTTCCTGGTTACCTTAAGGGGTCCCTAATTCATGGTTAGAAGGATATTTTGGCAAGTAGTCCTGAAAAAAGGCACAAAAATATGGGAATGGAGGAGAGAATGGAAGGGAATAAAAGGGTTGTTTTCCCTTCTCCATCATCAATTACATCATAATAAAGCAGGGTGAATCTCACTCACACTGTAAAGTATTACAATGACAGTAAAACTCCCCCAAGAAGAACAGGAATGGGAAAACCCTTCAATCTAGTCTACTCAACACTTAAGTGAGGAAAGTTCAGGACATAGCAAATTGGTAAGTTTGCAAAATTAGCTTTGCAATATTTTCCATGATAAAAAAATATTCAAAAATTAAGTCTAAAGGAAAACGAATTATAACTAACTGGTGGATTTTATCACAGTAATACTCCTTTAAAATATGCAAGTTAAAACAGCACAAAGTATGAGACAATAACTTACTTGAGTAGGAACAAGTACAGGAGGGTAGGCCATCTTATGATGTCTATACACCCAAAATGCACAGATGACGATCCCTGCAATTAACATAAGTGGCACCAAGGAGTAGAGCAAGATATTGTAATAGGGTGGCTTAGGAGTAACTGGATTCGAAGTAGCTGTGGAAAGGGAAGGAAAAGAACAACTCAGATTTGGTCTACAAAATTCTATAATAAGTAGTTATTGTAGGATCAAATTTTAGGAGAAAAATAAAAGTAGGAGAGGTAGGAGTAAATGATTCTATTAACATGAATATACTTTGTTTTCCATCTACTAAACAGACCTATGCATTTTCCCTGTGAACTTACGCTGTGTGACTTCCATCTCCGGAAAATAAGAAAACCTTTCATTACACATATTGCCCTCACAGCAACAAAAATATACTTCAGGGCTGTCTTTTTTCTCTATACAATCAGTCCTGCAAACAAACAAAGAGGAATAATTAAAATCAACATTATTATACTGAATCTACAACAGGTATGTTTCTCAAGTTCTTCTCAGAGATAAAGTAATAAGTCATTTATAGTCAACTTTAAGTTTTTATTGATATCCAATGGTCAACTCATAAAATTCAAAACTATCCTTGGAATCCTGTTACTAAATCTCATCAGAATAAAATAAACAGCTGATTTTATAACAATCACATTGGCTCATTGAGACTATTGCTTTAACTCGGTTTTTAATGATCAATCTAAAGCAACCATCTTTTTGTTGTTTAATTATTAAAAAACTGAAAGAGCCAATGAAGGAATTTGGTCTAGGAGCACTTTTCTCACAAGAAATATAGCTTTCCCATTTCAGAAATACAAACACTGAACACTACATGTAAAACTCTATCTGTGTACATGTAAATACGCATATGCACGTATGTACACACATAAATACACAAATACAAAGTGATGCAAGTTCATACCTCACAGTAGAATATATCTCAATATCAGAGACCAAATCAGGGCTTGGGAATTAAGTGCTTTTTGTAGTACAAATTTAAATACCCTGGACACAATGAACAGACTTAAGATAAACAACAAGAACAATATGTAACAACAAACATATAGAACCTAGTAACTCAAAAACTAATTCAAGTTAGGTTGATCTGGAGGGGAAGGTGAAGGCAACCTTCTATAGAGAACCTAAGTTACTGAAAAGATAGGAAATTAGCCTGTAGAACAAATCCTAATCAATCACTAAGAAACAGCTATACAGCCCTAACTGGTTTGGCTCAGTGGATAGAGCGTCAGCCTGCGGACTCAAGGGTCCTAGGTTTGATTCTGGTCAAGGGCATGTACCTTGGTTGCGGGCACATCGCCAGTAGGGGGTGTGCAGGAGGCAGCTGATTGATGTTTCTCTCTCATCAATGTTTCTAACTCTCTCTCCCTCTCCCTTCCTCTCTGTAAAAAAAATCAATAAAATATATTAAAATAAAAAAAAAAGAAACAGCTATACAGTAGTTCCCCCCACCTATCTGCAGGGGAAAAGTTCCAAGACCCCAGTGGATGCTTGAAACCGAGGATAGTGCTGAACCCTATATACACTGTTTTTTCCTATATATTCACACCTATGATAAAGTTTAATTTATAAGTTAGGCGCAATATGAGATTAACAACAATTACTACTAATAAAATAGAACAATTATAACAATATACTGTAATAAAGTTATATAATGGTGGTCTCTGTCTCTCTCTCCCTCTCTCTCTCTCTCATAATCAAAACACCTACTAAGTGACTAATGAGCAGGTAACATATACAGCCTGCATACACTAAACAAAGGGATGATTCCAGTTGTGGGTAGGACAGCACGAGATTTCTTCACACACTCAGAACTGTGCACAATATTTATTTCTGGAATTTTCCACACAATATTTTGGGGCCCAAAAATGACACTCTTAATTCCCATAGGTAATTGAAATCACGGAAAGTAGTCCTAGTTGGTTTGCCTCAGTGGATAGAGCATCAGCATGCAGACAGAAGGGTCCCGGGTTCAATTCCAATCAAGGGCACATGCATGAGTTGCAGGCTCGATCCCCAGTAGGGGCATGCAGGAGGCAGCTGATCAATGGTTCACTCTCATCATTGATGTTTCTATCTCTCTCTTCCTCTCAGAAATCAATAAAAATATATTAAAAAACAAAGCAAAATTGCAGCTAAGGAGGGACCACTGTACCTATATTTTCTTTAAAAAAAACAACAAAAACCTCAAACACTGAAATAGTGCTAACAAACATCAGGTAGATTTAAAGACATGTTACAAATAAACTGAACTTTAAGGATGGCTATTAGAATAATAGGTTGATTTAACTTTATAATGAAAAGCTCAAGATATTTCAGGAAGAATGCCATCTTTAAAAAACCTAACTTTAAAATGTAATTGATACCAACATCTATTTAGTAGAAAGTAAAAGATAAACGAAGGGTACATTTTTAACAATTTAGCAAAAGAAATATATATAAATTTAATATTTAGTATTTAGAACCATGTCTCAAATTATGGGAGGTAAATTAACCTAGCCTAATTACTTTTTGCCATCCAATTTCATTTTTCTTTTTATTACTCTTTTCCTCCACACTTTGACATTTCTTTAATCTTCTTTTCCTTTCTCCTACTTTTCTTATTATCTTTAATATCTGTTTTTTAATCAAATTCAGAGCATAAAAAACAAAATTTCACATACTTTTAAGTTAGCATTTAATCCCTAGAAACAGAGTTGGTGTAGTAATTATCTCTGTAAGAACAAGCATTTGTGCTGAACCACCCATACCCCATTATCAAGCCAAGTTTAACCTCCAGCAATACTGGTTTTAGATGAGAAGCACAGTATCTTTTTACTACAGAACACACACACACACACACACACACACACACACACACACACACACACACAACAAAACAAAAACACCAGAAATCCTTGATTTCAACTAATTAATGGAAGGTAGTTTTGGATAAAGATGATTCCCAGATCTCATTTTCCCCCAACTTTTTTCTACCTACCTTTTTAGAAAAATAGATATATAATTAACATATAACATTGTATATTTTTCAGGTATGAAACATAATAATATATTTGTATAGACTATGAAATGATCACCACAATAAGTTAACATCCATCACCACAGCATTACACATTTTTTTCCATGTGATGAGAACTTTTAAGATCTACCCTCTCTGCAACTTATAAATACACATTGCAGTATTATTAACTAGTCACCATGCTGTACATTACATGCCAGGATTAATTTGTTTTATAACTGAAAGTATGCACCATTTCTCCCCTTTCACCTATTTCACCCACCCCTCAGCCTCTTACAACTACTCTGTATCTATGAATTTTGGTTTGTTTGTCTTTTTGATTCACATATAAATGACATCATATGGTATTTTTTTTCTCTTATTTCACTTCGCATAATGCCATTAAGGTTTATCCATGTGGTTTCAAAAAGCAAGATTTCCTTATTTTTATGGGTGATTTCTATGCATACAATAGAATATTATATATTTTATATATTATATGTTATATATGATATATATTATGTATGTAATATATATTTTAATTTTAATTACATACACTTTCTTTATCCATTCATCTATCAGTGGACACTTATATTACTTCCACATCTTGGCTATTATAAATAACTAGGGGCCCGGTGCATGAAATTCATGCACGGTGGGGGAGGAGGGTTCCTCAGCCCAGCCTGCACCATCTTCAATCCAGGACCCCTCGGGGGATATCCGACCAGCAGTTGGACATCCCTCTTGCAATCTGGGACTGCTGGCTCCTAACCACTCACCTGCCTGCCTGCCTGATCGCTCCTAACTGCTCTTGCCTGCCAGCCTGATCGCCCCTAACTGTTCTCCCCTGCCAGCCTGATTGCCCCTAACTGCTTTCCCCTGCCAACCTGATCACCCCTAACTGCTCTCCCTTCCTGGCCTGATCGCCCCTAACTGCTTTTCCCTGCCAGCCTGATCGCCCCTAACTGTTCTCCCCTGCCAGCCTGATTGCCCCTAACTGCTTTCCCCTGCCAACCTGATCACCCCTAACTGCTCTCCCTTCCTGGCCTGATCGCCCCTAACTGCTTTTCCCTGCCAGCCTGATTGCACCTAACTGCTCTCCCCTGCCTGCCTGATCGCCCCTAACCACCTCTGCCTTGGCCCCACCACCGTGGCTTTGTCCGGAAGGATGTCCGGTCTATCCGGTCTAATTAGCATATTACCCTTCTATTAGTATAGATGCTACAATAAACATAAAGGTGCATATATCTTTTTCAGTTGGCATTTTCATTTTTGGATAAATAAATATCCAGAAATAGAATTGCTGAAATGTAAGGTAGTTCAATTTTTAATTGTTTTTAGGAACCTCTATACTGTTTTCTTAGTGGCCCTACTTACCTTTCATAATAGCAAATATTACTTAATGATCACCTCTGCTAATAGAAAGGCTAACAATTGAAATGCAGCTTAAATATATAATTATAGAGAAAAAAATCCCTGGAAAATTCACAGATTTGGAAGTCTATCCTAAATAATACATATACACCAAAATAACTATTTAAATAAAAAGTAGAGCTAATTCAATTTGTATGGTCTTATTCAATGCATTTTGCTATTAATCACACATAGCCAATCAACCACAGATGAGGCACCTAAAAGCGAAGAGAAACACGAGTATATCAGTTTTTTGGCTCCAAGAAGTCTGGTTAACTAGGACTTTGCAGCCTCTGCCAGTCATCAGCACCCACCCGCAGTGAAAAAATCCAGGCAGTTTAAGTGATCAGCCCAACATCTATGGGCTCCTCCACGAAAAATCACTGACAGTCAATTACATGTGCACTGTATTTCATTGTCAATATAGAATAAAACAATTTAAACAAGATCTTTTAAATAAAATGCAGTTTTCTATGAGGACTGTGTTCTGATGTAATTCTGAACATCAAGTTAAAATGTCTCTTGGGATAAAGTACAAATGCCTACTTTGCAAGGAAAAAATATAGTAAAATAAATTTCTTCCACATACATAAAGAAGAAACCTAAAAGGAAATTAAATACTACGATTAAGCTTTCATCTCCTTGAGAATAGATTTTCAACGGATATATTCTCTTTTAAAGCAATTTTAAAAATCCTTTTTCCTTAAAATTGTCATTAAAAACACACACACACATTTATAATCCTAACAATATAAGTTAAGAAATATTTCTTATCTATAGTTCTCACTACTTGGTCATTTATATCAAAGATAAAATATAAACATGTCACATTTATTTTATTACTTTAAAATACATCTCTTGTCATTAGAGAATCTCTCTATATAAAAGCCCAATATGCTAAGGATCTGACTGAGAGGTTGACCAACCAGTCACTAAGACATGCACTGACCACCAAGGGGCAGATGCTCCAACCGGTAGGTTAGCTTGCTGCTAGAGTCCTGCCGATCGAGACTGGGTGAGATGGGCCCAGACATGCCTGAGAGCCCTCCTATGGTTCCTCCCCAGCCACCGACCCCAATCGGGACTGGGCGAGATGGCCCTGATCAGCCCCAATTGCCAGCCAGGCGGAGGGGCCCCACCTGTGCACGAATTCGTGCACCAGGCCTCTAGTGTTACAATGGTATTCATAATCCCATGTTTACACAAAAAAGAAATAAAGTGAAAAATACATGCATTGATCTTTCCCCTTTAAAAGGAGTGGTGGTGGTAAAATTAATGCTATCATAAAAATGGAAATGTTTCCTTACCTGTCATAGCAGTTGATATCATCCAGCCAACAACCTTGCTTCACTATTTCAATGGAACCAGAAATATTCTTCCAGGTAGCAAAACAATGTCTCCGTTTATCTTTGTCACCATAACAGAGTTCAACACCAGTTCGATTCGTTTTATCTCTTTCCCAATTAGCGTTATAGAAAATACACTCCTGAGTTTCTGATCTACCAAGTATAGCACCTATAAGATAATAAAACACAACTTAATGTAACTGCATTCGCTCTTAAAATAAAGGATTGTCTCCCAATATACTAACTTCAGATCTTCTGAAAATGTCAATAATTTACTGTCTTCCTAGTGTTATAACCTAGAGTTATAACATTAGGTGTAGGTATCTAGGTCAATCACTGCATTTTAAGTATAATCCTATCTAATAATAGACAAACATCGTAATTAACCATACCACCAACACGCTTCCCATTGGCTAATCAGGGCAATATGCAAATTAACTGCCAACCAAGATGGCGGCGAGCAGCCAGGCAGCTGAAGCGAACAGGAGGCTTGCTTGCTCCAGTGATAGAGGAAGCCAAGATTTCCCGCCTGCTGTTGCCGGCCTCTGAGCTGCACTCTAAGAAACAATGTTGCAATTATAGAAGCTAAACAAACCCCAGAAACCTGCTTTCAGCCAACCCGGCCTCAGAGCTGGAGCTGTAACAGTGTTTCAATTATAGAAGCCGAACAAACCCAGATACCTGCTTTCAGCAGCCAAGGTCTCAGAGCTGGAGCCGAGCTTCAGAGCTAAAGCGGGCTCTCAGTTCCAGTGACAGCCACAGAAGGTAAATAAATCCCAGAATAAAAAAAAAAGAAAGAGCCCTAACGGGTTTGGCTCAGTGGATAGAGCGTCGGCCTGCAGACTGAAGGGTCTCAGGTTCGATTCCAGTCAAGGGCATGTACCTTGGTTGTGGGCACACCCCCAGTAGGGGGTGTGCAGGAGGCAGCTGGTTGATGTTTCTCTCTCATTGATGTTTCTAACTCTCTATCCCTCTCCCTTCCTCTCTGTGAAAAATCAATAAAATATATTTTAAAAAAAGAAAAAGAAAAAAAGGAGAGGTTAGGAGCTTCCGTCATCCGCCAGCCTGAAAATGGCCCTCAGCCCCTCACCCAGACTGGCCAGGCACCCCAGTGGGGACCCCCACCCTGAAAGGGATGTGACCAGCTGCATACAGCCATCAGCCCCTCATCCAGGCTGGCCAGGCACCCAAGCGGGGGACCCCCACCCTGATCCGGGACACCTTTCAGAGCAAACCAGCCAGCTCTCACCCGTGCACCAGGCCTCTATCCTATTTGGTAAAAGGGTAATATGCAAACTGACCCTAACAGCAGAACGACTGGGAATGACTGGTCACTATGACACACACTGACCACCGGGGGCAGATGCTCAATGCAAGAGCTGCCCTGTGGTGTTCAGGGCGCTCCCACATGGGAGGAGCTCTGCTCAGCCACAAGCCAGGCTGATGGCTGCCAGTACAGCGGTGGTGGTGGGAGCCTCTCCTGCCTCCTCAGCAGCGCTAAGGATGTCCGACTGCAGTTTAGGCCTGCTCCCCGCTGGCAAGTGGACATCCCCCGAGGGAGCGGGCCTAAGCCAGCAGGTGGTCATCCCCTGAGGGGTCCCAGGCAAGAGGGCACAGGCCAGGCTGAGGGACCGCCTTCCCCCCACCCCCACCCCGAGTGCACAAATTTTTGTGCACTGGGCCTCTAGTAAACATAGTAATAGAAAGTGAGTACATATATCACAAGATTTCTCTGGAAAAAACCAGTTTCACTTTACTAAAGAATGTCCTTGATAAAAAGCAGTAAAATTGTTCATTTTATTAAATCTTAACCTTTGAGTAGAGTTCAATATTCTGTGTTACAAAATAATAGGAACTAAGGCACTTCTGCTGCATACTGAAAATGGTTGCCTCAAGAAAAAGCTCTTGCATGACTGAGTTGTGAAATGAACCAGCCATGGTTATCTCAGATTTGGGTATCTGGTAAGGTCTTAAAAATGAATCATGTAAACCAGTTACTTCAAGAAAAACAAGTGACAGTATGCATCAAAAATTTGAGTTTTCACACAAAATTAAGAATTTTTGAAAATTTGTAATCACCACTATTAGCATGGCACCTTCCCAATACGTAAAGAACTTTCTGATGCAGTTAGTGATAATATTAACAAATGTTACATTTAAATATTGAATAACAAAATGTGACAATATTTAGAAGGTCTATATAATTCAGAAAACCAATGCTTTTCAAATGAATTATGTGTTATGTTATAAAAGTATTTAAGGGGAAAAATCTATTCAATGTTCAAAATAGCCCATTACATTTTAATGGTACAGAGGACAAGAAGTTCATTAATGGTTTCAGATTTTTCACTGTAACTAACTTTAGAGAAATTATCTTTTGTGTTATATGGGAAAGCAAGGAAACAGAAATACCCAAAATAATCCTGAAAAAAAGGTACCGAAGATTATTCATACAATCTGATTTTAAGACTTACTATAGAGCTTCAGCAATCATGACAGTGCAATTTTAGTGAGAAAACAGACACATGCACCAATGAGACCAAGAATCCAGAAATAGACCCACACATATATGACCAATTGATATACAGCCAATAAATGTCACTAGAGAAAACATAGTCTTTTCAACAACTGATGCTAGAACAATTAGATATCTATATGCGAAAAACAAAAAGGATCTCATCTCTCGCTCAATATGCAAAAATTAATTCTAAACAAATCATAGACCTAAAACTATGAAATTTCTAGAAAAGAACAGATGGAAAATCTTTGTGACCCTACCTTGTTTCCACATCTGATTCAATTTCTGTAATTCCATAATTAATATTATGAATAATTTCATAGTTTTATAATTCACACTCAGCCTAGTTATAGTAAATCCATAAGTCTAGTCAAGGAATCCAGCATCAGACTTAAATTAGATACTGCTCTGCTTAACAAGCGCTGCCTATGCATCAATGACTAGTACTGACCTTTGTTTTTCCTATCTTTAAAAAAAAAAAAAGGCAGTACAGCCCTAACCGGTTTGGCTCAGTGGACAGAGCTTTGGCCTGCGGACTGAAGGGTCCCAGGTTCAATTCCGGGTAAGGGCACGTACCTTGGTTGCGGGCACATCCCTAGTAGGGGGTGTGCAGGAGGCAGCTGATCGATGTTTCTCTCTCATCGATGTTTCTAACTCTCTCTCCCTCTCCCTTCCTCTCTGTAAAAAATCAATAAAATATATATTTTTTAAAAAAGGCAGTACAAACGGCCTGAAATTTGGTAGACCATTTGGCCATAAAATAGGCCTGCAAAAGTTATATTCAAATCTAAAATACTTCCCCTATGAGGAAAAAGTAAATTTCATCTAATATGACTAGATCTGAGGACAACCATTTTTTTAAAAAGCATAAAGTATTAAAATAAAACACCAACACTAATTTATACAATCTCTTCCAGAAACAGAGAGGGATTACTTCACAACTAATGTTATGAGGCCAGTATTATCTTGATACCAAAAACAGTTAAAGATAGTACAAAGGAGTAATACACACTAATATCTCTCATTAACTTAGATGTAAAAGTCTTCAACAAAATTTTAGCAAACAATCCAACAATGTATCAAATTCTAGCTATTGCAATAAGGCAAGAAAAAAAAAAGGAGCCCTAACTGGTTTGGCTCAGTGGATAGAGCATCGGCCTGCGGACTCAAGGGTCCCAGATTCGATTCCAGTCAAGGGCATGTACCTTGGTTGCGGGCATATCCCCAGTAGGGGGTGTGCAGGAGGCAGCTGATCGATGTTTCTTTCTCATCGATGTTTCTGACTCTCTATCCCTCTCCCTTCCCCTCTGTAAAAAAACCAATAAAATATATATTTTTTTTTAAAAAGGGAAGGTAATACTGACTGGAAAGAAGATATAACATGTTTCTATTTTCAGATGGCATGATTGTCTACCTAGAAAGTCCCAAAGAATCTTAAAACAAAATAATGCTAGAACTAGTGAGTTCAGTAAGACCACAGGATACAAGATCAATACACAAAACTCAATTACATTTCCATCTACTGACAGAATGAAGAAATGGTACTGAAATTAAAAATGCAATACCAGTTAAAGTTGCTCCTAAGAAAATAAAATACTTAAATATAACTTAAGAGAACATGTATAGGATGTATATAATGAAGATTATAAAATGTTGATGTGAGAAATCAAAGACAAATACTTGGAAAGACATGCTGTGTTCATGGACTGATAATTCAACATAATAAAAATGTCAATTTTCTCTAAATTAATGTCTAGGTTTAATATAATTCATATCAAAATTTCAGCAATTTCCTTTTAAACATAAATGAATTTATTCTAAAATTTTTTGAGGAAGAAGAATAAAGTGGGAGAAATAACTCTTTCTGTTGTTAAGGCTTACCATATAGCTGTAGTGAGACAGTGAGGTACTGGCAGGACAGACACTTTCAATGAAACAGAAAGAGAACCCAGAAACAGATCCATACAAATATGCCCAATTAATTTTTGACAAATTATCAAAAGCAATTCAGTGGAGGAAAGAGAGCCTTTTCAATAAATGATGCTGGAGCAATGGGACATGGTTCAAATATTTTTCATGAATGCCCTCCCTTAGTTATCTATCATCATTCTAGTAGTTCTTAAAAGCCCAGCTCTCACATATGTGACAATTTCATGTTTTTTCAAGGTAGATATAACAAAATTCAGTCCTTTAATCAGGACTTTCCCTTCCCCCAAAATGCACACTACTTACAATATTAAAAAATGTTATTTTATATTTATTCATTGTTTTTAATCACTTGTCTATATATGTCCTTTTACATGTCAGAATGCCATTGGGTCCAAGACTATTTACTTGCCCTCCCAACACAAACAATAATTAATGAATAAAAACTCAATGTAGCAACTGAATAAAAAACTTACCAACTACTACTTGGTCCCCATCCTCTGAAAAAGGTAGAATTGTCTGGACAACTTACAAATCTGAGTCTGACTTCTGAAAAAGTATTCTAATGCTGTATGAAACTATCAACAAGGCATTGAGAATATAATATAAACAGGCATGCAATTGAACGCCTTCCCTAAACTTGTTACTTCCGTAGACAACTTAGTTCTACTTGAAAAATAATTCCTGTTTCCCTTTCACATGTCATTGCTTCCTGTCACTTAGAG